ATTAAGGATAATTCTTTGATGAATGTTCATGTGCAAGTCTTTGTGTGGACATGTATTTTCTCACATGTAGACTTAGGAATGGAAATTTCTGGTTCCTAACATAGGTATAAATTGAAATTTTAAAGAAATTAGCAAACTGTTTACCATTTTTCATTCCCACCTGCAGTTTATGAGGGTTTCAGTTTGCAGCATCCTCACCAACACTTGATATTATCTGTCTTTTTCTTTTCTAGTGGGTGATGAGGGATGAATCAAGGATGCCTCTTGGATTTTTAGTTGAGCAATTGAGTGTTCAGAGCTAACATTTACTGGAGGCTGGAAGAAGAGTGGACTTTTTTGAGACAAATCAAAAGTTCAGATTCAACCATTCAGAGGGACTGCCACATAGGTAATGGGATGTATGAGGCCACCTGCATTCTTTCCATCTTCCTGAATTCATTAAATAATGAATAATTGAATAGTTGCTTCAATTTTTTGTCCTCTGGATATGTGCCTGATGATCTGGACAAATCACATAACTTCTTCTGATGTCAGTTTCCTCATCCATAAAGTAAAATAATCTGTCTTTCTCCAAAGGTTGAGGTGAATGAATTAGAGTGTGAAAGTGCTTATTATCATGGTGGTTATTGTTGATGCATGGTTACCTTTTGTTTATTTTATTTTTGTGTTCATTGTGGCTTGTAGGCCCATGTTTCGTATGTAAGTGGTGCTCAGTAAATCCTGATTTAATAAATAAATGCAGATAATGACTAAGTGTGTGATGGTGAAGAAGGGAGGGAGGAAAGAGAGAAAAAAATAGAAATAGTTTGCATTGGCCATCACAATTCCACATTTGAGTTTTGTGGAAGGGCAATTTATCTTTTATGTTATGACACTAGGAAGAAACATGGAAAAGGCAGGATTTGGGGAGATATTTAAATAATAACACTTATCACATAAAGCATAGTATTTTGTCAGTGTCTCCGATATCTTCATACTTGACTTTAAGCTTCTTGAGACCTGGGGCAATTTCTAATGTGCTTCTGGATTTCCCAGAGCCTTTGCTTAGAGCTTTGAACATAATATGAACACAACAAATATGTATAAAATGAATACGCATACTTTTTAAACTTCTCTCTTTATTCTAATTAAAGTGACATGTATTTGACTTTTGGTTGGTTGGTAGGTGACTGTTCAGCAGGTTATTTCCTTCCTGTGTCCCTCAGATGTCATGGACATGCTTCTATCATAGCTGATGGATGACTTGTAATTGTAATTACTTGTTTACGTACCTGCTCGGTGATGGCGGGGGCTCCATGTCCTGGGCACATGCCTGCACGTGGTAGTTGTTCAGATAATGCTTGAGAGAATTATTCTCAGTGGACAACTGTATTCAAGACTTAATGCATAGCTGGGAAAGAAGACCAGATATGTGCTTGTTGGGGTTTCAGATTACAGAGCTAAAGGTCTAAATCTAGGGAAGGAAAGAAAGTAGGGAAATGGTCAAGTAACTCTATTCCCTCATTTTCTATCTTGTGGACAAGGTAGAAATGCTCTTGATATGGTTAGGGAGTGGATCCTTATTACTGTCATAAATCTCAGATGATAATATTAACTCATGTTGTAACTATTTTGAGAGGGCTACAACCCTAAAAGTTTTTGTTAGGTTAGTTCATTAGGGAGTGTTTTCCTTGATTGGCTTAAAACAAAAAATTTTAAACTTTGTTTTAGGAAAACATTTTTTTTTTTGTTAAACAAAATCTTGTATGAACCCCATACTTAAAATTCATAAAAACAGAGCTACTCCGGCTAATGCAGGGCTGATGTCCTAGAACCTCACCTGCTTATCATTTCTTTGTCTTCTCTGAAGGCCCCACAGCATGGAGGGGACTCCAGGGTTCCCAGGAAGAAAGTTTGGAAAACCACAGCTTTAGAGAAAGTCTGTGCATTTGGCCTCCTGTTCCTTCTGCTACCCTCAGTAGACTTCTGCTGAGTCTGTAGATGGTAACCATACTGCTATCTGCAACTACTAACTCTTAGTCTACATAAAACTTCTAAGAATCAGTCCTTTCTGATTGTACTTTCTATGTGAAGCTGTTTTGCCTTCTTGGTTCTATCCCAGCCAACTCTGGGATTCCTGCCCCACTAAAACTACTTCCTTAGGCCCACTCTCTTGGTTCTGATTCCTCAGATAGCCCTTGCTCTCCTGGGCTGCCAGGCCCTTCTTGAAGCACTCAGTCCCTGTCTTCCCTCCCTAACTGCCAGGCCCTAGTGAATTCAAATTTTTGAAAGTCAGCCTCCTCTACATGTTAGCAAATCTTTTCTTCCCATGACTCACCTTGCTCTTCACACGCGCTCTGATCCCAGCAGGCTTACAAAGGCCTTCTCCATGCTAACCCATGATCTGACTCTACCCTTCGATCCCTGCCTCTCCTCCATCTCCCTGTGGTTTCCTCTCCCAGCCACTCACTTGGACAAGATGGTGCATATCTTTTCATCCTTTTACTTTTAACCTATTTTTATCTTTAAATCTAATGTGTTGTCTCCTGTAGACAGTATATAATAGGATCATTTATTTTTATCCATTCTGCTGATTGGATTTTAATTGGAGTCTTTAGTTCATTTAAGTTTAATGTAAATATCGATAAGGTTGGAATTACTTCTCTCATTTTCTCTATGTCGTTGTGGGCTTTTATTTTGGAGGGGGTTCCTTTGTTTTGCCATTACTGCCTTCTCTTGTGTTAAATAAATATTTAAAAATAATTTTCTGTGGCAACACTTTAATTCCCTTGGTTTTTTGGGGAGGACATATTGCTCTGGGGATTACTGTTAACATCTTAATTTATAGCAATCTAATTTAGATTAATACCAACTTAATTTCGATAGTATACAAAAATTTTGCTTCTATGTAGTGCGTTTCCATCCCTCCTTTATCCTGCTGTTACAGTTTACATCTTCACAAATTGTATGCCCAACAACACAAGTTTATAATTATTGCTTTATGCTACTGTCTTTCAAATCAGATAGGAGAAAAAGAGTTACAAACAAAAAATACATTGATATTGGCTTTAATATTTGTGTTTATGGTTACCTTTACTTATGTTCTTCATTTCATGTGGATTGGAGTTATTGTCTAATTTTCTTTTATTTCAGCCTGAAAGAGAAGTTCCTTTAGTATTTCTTGTAGGGCAGATCTGCTAGCAATAAATTCTATTTTTGTTTATCTAGGAATGTATTAATGTCTCCTTGATTTTTGAAGGAGAGTGTTGCTGATATAGAATTCTTGGTGGATTTTTTCTTTCAGTACTTTGAATATATCATCCCACTGCCTTCTGGACTCTATGGCTTCCAGTGAGCAATCAGCTGTTAATCTTAAGGCTCCCTTGTACATGAGGTGTCACTTCTCTCTTGCTTTCAAGATTCTTTCTTTTTCTTTAGTTTTCAATAGTTTTATTATAAGTTGCAAACCCACTGTCATCCTGCCCATGTTTTGCTATCTCTATTTGAAAGGATAGCACAGAACACTTTTGTTAGTGCTTTAATTCAACCGTTATATCTCTAGTGTTTCTCTGATCTATCAACTTTATGATTTAGTAATATGTGGTTTTGTTTTTCATTATCATATTTCATAGTTTTATAAAAACTTTAGAGTGATATTTATGTGATCCATTGCCATACTTCATTTACCTAATAGATTTGTTGAGCACCTGCATATGAAAAGCTTTATGCAAAACTTTCAGTTTTCTGAGATAAGTGACAGATGGTCCTGCCTGTAAGGATGATACATTTGGTTGGTAGAAGATACGTACTCAAATAACTACTATACAATTAGAATGAAGGTATGCTGAGTATAAACAGAGTATTTTTGGAGCACAGAGGAGGAAGCCACTCATTTTTATATTTGATATATAAGCAAACTGAGGATTATATAGATTAAGCAATTTGAGACCTTGAGGTTACATACATTAGAAAGACAGGACCTAGTACTAAAACCTACTATTCTGTTTCTTTTTATGAAACTATGGTGATTGTATAGTGTGGCTATGTTGTATTTTCAAGCATCAAATGATTTCTTAAATGAAATAGCAGAAAATGATTTGGCAGAAGTTGATGATATTGGTGCCAGGGTTTACGTATTGTATCAGTTTCCTGTTTTCAAATATATTAATTGATCCGCGAAGGGAAGGTAAATGTGTGAAGCACAGACTGGCTATTTTGCTTCAGAAGATGTGCATACTACAAATAAAAATGAACAGTATTTATTTATACTTATTAGATTGTTCTAGCATGAATTTAGCAAACAAGTGACCATGTTGCAAGTTGAGGTTCAAAATATTAAAAAATACTTAATTTTACACCCTAAGTGTTTCCTTTTCTTTTAATTAATAGTTATGTTTTGAAAAGAATTCTTTTCCCCCCTTCACCTCGTGTAAAATTTTGGATAGGTTGAGTTTATAAAATTAGAGTTTCCTTAATAATAGGAACTGATCAATCTAAACTATGTTCTTTTCCCATAGGGTAAAGCATTACTTATTTGGGCATAGAGTTTTAATTTTAATCTGTATGCCTCCTTTTCTATTCTCCCATAATTCTTTGCAGCAGGGCAAGAGAAAGCAAGTCTTATAAAAAGAAATACAGTATGTGGTGCTTATTAAAGTTACATACATCTCTTCTCAGAGGAGAATTTTGATTTACTGCAGCTTGTGCATATGTCACATATGGGCATTTCTAGGGAACAGATTCCTTATTACTGAACAGTGAATGGCTTCTAGTACTCCATTATTGCTCTGGGAACATGTTAGCAATGATTATGAAAGGTAGGGTACCATGAAATCTGTAAGGTGATTTGGCAGAAGTCGATGCTGTTGGTGCCAGGATTTCGGTACCATACCACAGTTTCCTGTTTTCAAATGTATTAATTGATCTGCAAAGGACATCTTTTGGAGACAAGAATTCAGACAGACTGGCACAGGCTGGACCTCCGCCAAGACTGCTCGGAAGGTTGCCATACTGGGAGCAAAGAGTGAGAGAGAAAAAGAGAGAGAGGGAGAGGGAGAGGGAGAGAGAGGCAGAGGGAGAGCTGAGGAAAGAAAAAAAGGCAAGACTTGGCACAGCTCAGTCAAATCAGCTTCTTTTGTCTGCTTTCTCGGCTTGAGCTTCAGGAAAGAAAATCGTCCTGGGGTACAGAAAAACTCAGAACTTTTTGGTTTTCAAACTTAGAAGGCTTTTTAAGTCTCTTGGGCTATTTGAAAGTGTTGGTACATTCAATGACGTTTGGTTACCAGTATTTAGGGAAATAAAAGCCTTTTTCAAAATGAAGCTTCCACAGTGTCCATGCATTTGGGAAATACTGTACTTGATTTTTTGCATGTATGATTATACCATGAGAGACAGGATTAATATAGAAGATGGCAAGGCAAATTTCTAATTAGAGGGAATATTAATTTTCTACAAAATAAAGTTTGTTCATCAATACAAACCTGCTTTCAAATCAAATCAGACATCCTTCGGAATGTGTTCAGAACGTAAGTTTTTAGATTTTATTTTATTTTTTTCCCCCATTTATAGACATTCACTTTTCAGGGAGACTTTCTAAGATTTTATGCAACCTAGCCAGGAAGTCAGAGTAAAAGTTGTTTTATCCATGTGTTTATGAAAACGTTTTCTTAAAGCAACAGCTTTTATTTCTGCTGCTTCATGCTGTCCTAAACTACATCCCCCAGCAATGAGTGACAACACTGAAGACCAGAAAGGCAAGCTGAAGACACCCGACTTCGCTTGAAGGGCAAACAAGAAATGTGAGCTTGGTCATTATTTTTGTGTGTGTCTTTGCTCTGAACCAGTTTTTGGAGGTGGGTGGGGAGGTGGGTGGGGAGGTGTCTATGTCTAAAAGATGTGTGCGATTAGGGAATTCTCATTGTGAGAAGGAAATGATAAAAGGTAATTTTTATGATGTTGGCAGAAATGGCTGGGAATGGTAGAGAATAGAAATTTAAATCTTTTGAATAAGAAGTGGTGAGCTGTGTTTGAAATACATGGAAAAAAATTCCATTATTTTTAGTTGATTAGATTTTATAATTAAACGATAACTATAGCTTGGCTCTCTCAAAATGTTTTAAGTAGAAGGAAAATCTAGAAAGTTATTGATTTTCTTTTCAATGTTTCCCAGTATTTTACTTACATTTATACTTTATATCTAATTTCTTAACAATAAATATTTCCTATTAGGCCTGCTTATGATTGGATTGTGATAGTTCTGCTGTTAAAAATCAGCATTATTGTAGGATAGGTTTACTATAAGGCACATTTGTGGATCACCCTCTTTGTCATAAGTATTCTGTTTCTAAAGAAGAGAGTTTGAATTGTAGTAGGTTATGATTTCCTGTAATATTATATTTTCTTTTTATTTTATATACTAAAAGAATAGAGGAAAATCGTGTACATTCACATAAGTACTAATCATTTTGGGCAATATAAAAGACTGCTCCAGGACCTATGCTTTTGTTTTGAGTATGTAATCATGGATATATTAATCCTTTCACATTTTTTTTGTTTATAGGTTTATATTTTTGCGCGCTTTAAATAATCAATTTTTGAAATGGTTTAAATAGTATTGTAAGGATACAGCAGCAATTCTGAGAATGGTATTTAATATACAAACACAGTAAAAAAATATATGAAAAGGTATTTGCATAGTTAAGCTTAAGTATTTACTTCAACTTTTTTACTAATCGACATTTTGATGTTTCATAAAATGAAATCACTTCATGTTCGTGTGTGTTGCCAACATGACAACCTTTGTTTTATAAGCTTCTTTATACACCACCTCGCTGGTATGCCTAAAATGGACGCCAAAACAGAAAAGACTTGCTGATAGGCGCTGGAAGGGGGTGTTTGCCTGGCCACTGTCTTCCTTTTGGAGCTGATCACAGGATCATTCACGCCTGTACTAGAGCCCGGCAGTATATGAAATAAAAAGGAAGTTCAATAAATCAGTTAAATTAGAGCTACATTTCAGCATTGATCGTCTTATTACCGATTTTTATTTACTTTAATTTACTTCTTAAACAGGTTTGCTAACTATACAACTTCTTTAGTTTGTTTAAGACCATTTGCCCTTAAAGTTAGAATGATTTGCTAGCTTATTTCCTAACTTTTTTGCAGCGAATTCAGGAAGAACAAACTTATTTTATATCGGGACTATTTTATGTCTAATTATTTTCTGACAATATAATAAAAAATAAGTAAATTTAAAAACACAGGTGTCAGAGCATACCTTTAGAAATACTGAATTTCTTGGTAAGATAAAGCTACATTTTATAGTGTTTATTGCACCTAAGATTTGATAATAGATATTAGCTGTAATACCTAATAAAGTTTCTTACCACTACATTCTCTCTGGCCTACTCGTTACATATCTTAAAATAAAAAAAGTCCCATATTAAGATACTCCTTGTAAACTGTGTACAGACACTCCTTTGTACAACTTTTTTTTAAAGATATGTTCAAGAAATTGTGTTGATTACATTTTCAAACACATACATTTAGGTTTAACATAATGCATTCTTCTTTACATTTAGACCTTCAATTTTATAAACACATTGACATTTAGGTTATTAATTATTTCCATATTAGTATTAACATTTCAAATCTTATTTTAAAGTATGTAAATACTAGTGGTATGATTATAAATGAACTCAATCTCAGCATATATTCAATGCAGTTTGAACTGTATAGCATTTTGAAGTAGAATTATTAAGACAGAAATGGATTAAATAGTTGACGGCTACTTGATGCCTGTTATTAAGTCCCATTTAGATGTATATATCTGAACATACAAGCACATAATTCTGTAAACTAATGCAAACCTTTCAGGGGGCCTTGGTCTAGCATTTTATAATTATTCACTCATTTATTCATTGAAACAAATGTTTACCAAGTACCCATTTAAGTATGTTAATATTTTATTGACGAAGTTATTTTGGGTAACAGGGAAGGAAGCTACATACATGGATGGCAGAGGGAATGGATTTAAAATAGATGTACAAAAGCCTAGATAGAAAAGAGCACTGTTGTAATAAGATTTATTTCAATAGATTAAAGTACGTTAACTTTTATTGCACAATGTACATATGATAGAGTGTTATAAAATATGAGGTGATTGGCTGTAGCCCATCTAGCTATAAGATTTTGTCTAATCACTATTTAGGTTGCTGCATTTTATTGGCCAGAACACTCCAGTTGTTCAGGTCTTCTGACAAACCTGTAAAATAAGCAGTTCAAATGGTGTAAGGAAGAAATTACACGGGGAAGACTGAACCACTGCTCACATTCTAGATTTTACATGTGTCAAAGTAGGTGTCACTGAACCTTTGAAGGTATGGCTGCAATGTAAAAAACAATGGCCTGTTTATGAGGGATTTTTTTCCTTTCCTTGGTTTCCTTTTGTGAGAACAAGGGAGAAGAGGCCAACCCCAAACTTCAAGCCAGCATGGCCCTCAGAAAGTGAGTCTGCTAGAGCGGTGTGTTTTAAATGGGCCAATCCGTTCACTTTTTGTAATCTCTAATGTTTTGTTTCATTTTTTTTTTTCTTTCTTAGCTTTGTTCATGAACATAAAGACTCATAGGCAGCTCTTGACTCTAGATGTAAATGAGCATTTAACTTGTTTATTTCATGCAGTTGTCCTTTAATATAAAAAGAAGGCATAGGTTCAGATTCTGAAGAGGAGATAAGTCACATGAGCCTGGGAGATGAGCTGTTGTGGTGACCAAGGCCGGAGTCAGGGCTGGTGACCAATGGTAATGAAGATGAGAGATGTTTTAGGTGTAGGTATGGACTGCTGAAGTAATTCAACAAATATTCCCAGAGGACTTGCTCTATGCCAGGTACTATGCTGCTTGCAGGGGATACTAAAATAAATTTCTGCCCATAAGGAATTCATAGTATAATTGGGGGTTGCAGGAAGAAGGATAAGAATTACTGATACATTACAGTTTACCTCATTTAATCCTAGCAACAGTGCCTAGCAAGGAACCGGTACGTAATGGCCACCCCCTAAAGATTCCTTGAAGAAATAAACCACACTGTGAATCAGCTGTTAATATATTGGGCCTTATTTGATTAAAAGAATTTTTCCCCTCATGTTGAGAGACAAAAAGCATCGTGCTTGCTTTTATCTTGAGTTTGTGTTGCTGGTTATGGGTTTAGATGGGGTGCAGAGTAGGGCCACATTCTTTGTGACCAAATTAGAATCCCTCCAGGTGGCCACTGGAGACAATATAAAATAAGGACCTGACTGGCCCACAGTGGCCCTGAGCACTCATTCCCCCCCAGCTCGACCTCCACTGTCTTGCATTCTCCCTCTCCTTGCTTCCCCAAAGGATCCCAGAACTGTATCTTAGGCCTTGGTGGTGTGCTCTAAACATGGAGCAGACCAGCTGGTTGTCTGTCAAGTTTAAAGTCTTTCTTATGAGCATGGGAAGAAGGCCGAGGGGATTGAGAGAGAGTAAAGTAGGGAGAGGGAGAGAAGAGAGAGAGATGTGAGGGGAAATTGTGGGGAGCTGAGGACACTGTCCAGTGACCAGCTTCAGTCCTGTCCAAAGCTTCACTAAGAGAGTGAAGGCGAATGTGGGGTCTGGGGGTTAGATTGGACTACCAGACGCAGCCTGTAAGAGCCTTATGAGGCCAGCTCATGGTGAACAGCATCTTTCTAGGTCTCTCTCCNAGCACTGAGAGCCTGTAAGGCCTTATGAGGCCAGCTCATGGTGAACAGCATCTTTCTAGGTCTCTCTCCCAGGGGTGTTTTGAGAACCAGGAGAGGGTGGGGGAGAGTCAGAACCATTGCATACAATCGTGTACCAAGAAGGTATGGAGGCTGAAATTCAGTCCCTACTCTCTTGCTCAAGCCCTGTGCCTTGGTCTGCTAGAGAAAAGTAGAATGTCACTATAGATGTGAGTGGTGGCCCTGGAGAGAGTGGGCATGGGGTGAATCTCGGCCTGGAACTGGAATAGCATCCAAGGAAGAAGATCACAGGGTCTGGGGTGGGAGAGGAGTAACATCCCAGTATGTGACCGAGTGTCCAGGTGGGGTTAGGAGATGTTATCAGAAGAGTTCCAGAGAACATGGTGAAACAGGGAGAGGTGAGTGTATGGAAATTCTGGTTAAAGTGTAAGAAAAGCTTCAGGGAATACTCAAGTTAGGATTTTATTCTGAAACCCAACAGGTTGTGATGCATAGCACCGCTGCAAGGCATGACTTAGCTTGGTCATTGGTCGTGCTAAGGTCATTTTATTTCTCTAAAAGAAAGTGTAGAAAAGAAAGTTACCTATTTTGTTCTGTATTCCACAATGTTATGAGAATTAAAATTTTCTCTTTCATAGTTAAGCATCTCTTGATGCTGTGTAATTACGACACTGCTAAGGCGTGGAAAACATTTTGGCATTACCATTTAGGTTTTGAAGAATTAGTCCTTATGTAGTGGTGCCATCCTTTTCATTTTGTATATCAATGCCATGTATATCTCT